TATATATAGTATATGTGTTTACAACTATTTAAAAAAAAGGGCCCAAGCCCAATATGAATTGTGCTGAAGAATCTCCAAGCTTTCCAACATTCCGTCCACAACTTCTCACGTTAACATATACCGGCTTTCCTTCGGCTACTGAGTTCTGTAGCGCTTATCAAAAACTGTTACAATGTGGTAAAGGTTGAAGGAGTGTTTAATCTTTAGGCACATGTATCGGTTTTAGAATTGATGTTTCAGAGTGACTTTTTTGTTAACTGATTTTGCCAAATTGTGTCTAAATTTATTTATCTGTTTGTTTGTTTAATTTTGAGGCAGGGTTTCACTGTTGTAGCTGGCCTGGAACTTGCTACACAGACCAGGCTGGCCACAAACTCAGATCTGTCTGCCTCTGCCTCCCAGAGTGATGGGATTAAAGGCCTGTGCCAACGTGCCTAGTGCTCAGAATACTTTTTGTCATTGTATGAATCCTCATACCAAAACTGCCTATTCCATAGTATCTTCTCCAACATTTGAGTATGTCTTAGAAAAAAACCCAACAAAACAAACAGTGCCCCAAGGGCCAGTGTGTAACTCAGTCATATAAAGTTTGTGCTTGGTTTGCATAGGCCCTGAATTGGTCCCCGGCACCATCAAGAATACTAAAAAGAACCCACTATAGACGACACCTTGTTTAAGGCTGGATTGGTATCTTCTCTAAGATTTCTTCTTTGTATCCTTGCATAATGCTCTGCAAACACCTTCTCAGCCTTGGCTAGTTGGCCCAGTCTGTTCACAAAGGCTGACTCCAGGGTCTCATGGAAGCTAATCTGCAAAATTTGGTGCTGCTTTTCACCGACTGGGATTTCCCTGGGTCTGTTTTAGGGAGAGAAAACATTTACTTAGTATACATTTTCTATTGGCGATTTTGCTACTTCATTAAAGCTCCGATTCGGTCTGCTTTGATGTTGTATCAGCCCTCCAGGACCTCCTGCTGTTAACTGATTGATTTTCTGATTGAGATTTGTAACTCCAGAAAACATCAACATATCTCACAACCTACAACACTTTTCACCTCTGAGGTGCCGTTATGAATCAGAGCTCTAGTAAGAACAGTGAGAGATCTGGAGGAAAGCTGGGCAACCTTTCTGAAGTTGAAGCCCACAGCTCCTGTGTAGCTTACTTGAGTGGCTTCTGTGGTCAGGTGACTTTTTTTTCCTCTTGAAAGCTAGTCTGAAAAACCTCTACAGGGCGCCCTATGCCCCTGGACCAAAACCTGCTTCTGATGGAACATAGTGACTACTGGGTTTATATTCTCAGGCTGAAGAAAAATCTGCTTTTATCGTAGATGCTTTGGCTTATAAGAATTTGTTACTAGGAAATGAAAACTTGTCCCTGTTGTGATTTGGTGAGAAATTATATATTAACAAATTAATAAAAAGAATGTCCAAACCAGCACACAACATTAATTTTAAATGAGTACCATAGGAAATTCATAGTGGAAAAGATTTCTGTGAACAGTAGGCAGAAGAAGCCAATATTGTGCAGCTGGTGTTGTTTAGTGTCTTGTTCAGATATTATATTGAGTTGCTGGTTTATTCTTCAAGTCACAGAAAGTTTAGCTAACCTGGAATCAGATCTGCTCCCCTCCCATTTTTTTGGAAAAGACTTCTTAATAGATATATTTTACAAACTACACAGGAAGATCATGCAGGACTGTTTGGATTGGGTATAATTCTGGGCCACAGGTTTGCACAGTCCTTCACAGCTGGCCCTGTGACGGCAGAACATTTCATCTCATCTGTACTGTGTACTGTGTCCTCTGCTTTTATCTTCAGAATAAAGACATGGCCTCTCTTCTACCATACACTTATTGCTGTCAAATTACCACTGCTGGATGAACCTTTTTTCTTAGTTCCGTTTTGTCTTAACTGTGGGCATCATAACTGTTAACATAACTGTTCCTTGGACTCTTGATCCTGTATTCCTGATTTTGGTTGTATTCTCCTCTGCCTTCTGTTCTCTCTGAGCTCCCTTCAGTCAATCTGTCTGTCTGTCTAGGATTCCAGCCAGTGATCTTCTAGGCTGTCTATCAGATTAGGGATTGTCTAACATTTTCTTATGGTTAGATAGAGATGCAGTTTTGGCAAAAAGATACCAGAGGAAGGATGGTGTGATACACTATGATGTTGGCAAGTCTCTTATGTGGGAGTTACTTAACTAAAGGAATCTAGCCTTCCCTGCCCCCAGTAAAATTACTGACTTTCTCTTTGAAATCAGTAAATGGTTTTTCAGGATGCATGAATATTGTGTAGTTGTTGTTTTTTGACATCTGTCAGTAATTTCTGTCTGCCACAGATATATTTGTTTTCTGTTGTTCCATGGCAGTTTTCCTTCTCCCTGTACATTAAAGAATGGATTAGTATTTGCTAGACTGAAGTCTGTAGTAGTCAGTGTTATTGTTTTTGCTCAGATCATCCCAAGGCTCTATCACTGAAAGAACCTTCAGGTTGCTGAGTCTGGCACCACAGAGTTCCAGGCTCACCTGTGTGCCATCACACAGAGCACTTTTTCCTTTTATTTGGGGATGACAGAATAATTCCAGTTTGCCCAAGACTGATGCGTTTCTAAGAAAGGGGCTTTCAGGAGTGACTGCTAGACAGTTAAGAAGGCCCTCCTAGCCTATAGCGATTGTTGCTCCCAGGGTGGATCTGTCTATCAGTCAGTAGACAGGGTTAGGAAATGCACCCACACAGGCACACACTGTGCTCTACAAACAAGGGATCTATCTCATGGTTGTATGGTGTCTGCACTCCAGGGCAGCGCTGCAGGTCCTAGCCCTTCCCCCAGACTCATTCACAGTGTGTTAGTGTGCTTGATGTCAGTCTGTACCCAGGACAGTTTCAGACTTGGCACTGGACTGGTGAATAGATTTACCGAGCTGAGCGTGTGTGTGCAATCCTTGTAGAGGTTAGCTTTGTGACCTGCAGTAAAAATTGGCATTTCTGGTGAGGGCTTTACATATTATGGTCATCTTCAAAACCATTTTTAAAATCATGCTGGAAAACTAATTACTTGTAAATTCATATCATGTTTACCGAGTCTACTCACAGGGGACTGCAGCTTCTGACCATTGTAGGAGAGAGGCGCACTGTTTCTTTCCTTATCCCTTGTGCTTACATGGCCTGTACCTGAGTGACGGGTGATGTACCTTCCATGTCTTTGACAATGTTTTTCAATACTGTGGTCTTCCTGTTTGTAGCCTATAGCAGTGAGGTTCTTACAGGTTCTACATCTCTGTAGAGGTTCTTCAAGGAAGGATCCAGCAAACCCCATTCTTCGTGAGTGTCTTAGGTAGGATTTCTCTTCTCTGTGAAGAGACACCATGACCACAGCAACTCTTTTTTTTTTTTTTTTTTTTTTTTTTTGGTGTTTTGAGACAGGGTTTCTCTGTGGTTTTGGAGCCTGTCCTGGAACTAGCTCTTGTAGACCAGGCTGGTCTCGAACTCACAGAGATCCGCCTGCCTCTGCCTCCCAAATGCTGGGATTAAAGGTGTGCGCCATCACTGCCCAGCCACAGCAACTCTTATAAAGAAAAACATTTAATTGGGTCTGGCTTACAGTTCAGAGGTTTAGTCCATTGTCGTCATGGTGGAAAGCATGGTGGCACCTAGGCAGGCGTGGTGCTGGAGAGCTAGCTGAGAGTTCTACATCCGAATCATCAGGCAGTGGGAGAAAAATGAGACACACTAGACCTGGCTTGAGCTTCTAAGACCTCAAAGCCCACCCCCAGTGGGCTTTTTCCAACAAAGCTGCATTTCCCAATAGTGCTGTCTCTTGAGCCTATGGGATTATTTCATTAAACCTACCACACTGAGTGAAGTTCTCATGCACAGCCTCACTGGTCACATCTTCCAGGGATGTGTGAGCTCCCTGGCTGCTGGGCTTCACTGTGTCTATTGGCATAGTAGCTTGTTTACGTTACTATGGCTCTAAGATACAAAAAAAAAAAAAAAAAAAAAAAAAAAAAAAAAAAGTGTCTTTAGAGGTGGTTCAGCAGTTAAGGGTGTTTACTGCTCTTGCGAAGGACTTGAGTTCACTTCCGAGCACACCTACCTGTGGCAGTTCCAGAGGGCCTCTGGGAACATACACTCATGTGCACATAACTCATACACAGATGTTGGGAGCACTAGGGAAACTCAGAATGTTAAACATGCAGAGTTGTCTTTTCAAAGGAAAAGATGTATAGCCTGCTTTTCCACACAGAAGACTGGAATTGAGGTCAGTAGCCCTGTGATCTGCACCTATCTGCACAGCCAGGTCATACTAAGATCCCACCAGCAGGACTGGAGGTGGCTGGTAGTTTAGGTGACCTTTCTGTTATCTGTATGGCAAGGGGGTCCCCCATACTGCCACAACCAGGACCAGAGGTGAATATACTCGAATGACCACTATACTGTCTGTACTGTATGACCAAGACCACAGCGGATCCTCCCCAGGGCCCTAAGGTAACCCATGCAGCCTGTCTCGAGAACACATCTCCATGGGAAAAGTGACATGTGCTTGAGAAGGGTTTTGATGTGATTATGCCTCGCTGTGCACAGGGGATTGTTACAGCAGGAGACCCTCCCCAACTACTGTACTTAACTGTGCCTGCAATAGACTGCCACAGTCAGACTCTACAAGTTTGAACCAGCACTGGCTACGGAGTCGTGTTGAACTGGATTTCCGTCTTGCCCCTCATGGATCTTTACTCTGCCCACTATGGTGTTTCAGAGACCCCACACACAGACACTCATAGTCATTATTTAAAACAGTAAAAAAAAGATAGTTACATTTAGATTTGCATGTTTGGGCATTTGTGTGCTGTGGCACATGTGTTGAGGTCAGAGCACAGCTTCCAGGAGTTGGTTCTCTCCTTCCATCATGTGGGCTCTAGGGATTGAATTCAGGTCGCCAGCCTTGGTTGCAGGCATCTTTACCTGCTGAGCCACCTCACTGCCCAGCTATATTTGTTTTTAAAAACTATTCATTTCTGGATGTTCTTTATTCTTACTTGTATTAGAATTAAGGGTGAGCAGTAGCTGGCAGGAGGGTCTCAAGTCCTTTCAGTCCATACTGTCTTGAAGACTTAGTGTACTTGGTGGATGCCTACTGACTTGGCCCTTGGTTGCTGAGAGATAGAGACCAGGTCCATGCCTCTGGCTGAAGCACAGCGTCTGCTAGGTTTTTGTGGCTGTGAAGGCTTAGGCTGATCCCACCAAGTGGAGACACCTAACATCTAGTTCTATGCTAGAGGTTTCAGGACCCACCAGGCTTGCCAGGAAGTTACAAAAGCAGTTCTGAGGGGCTGGAGAGATGGCTCAGTGGTTAAGAGCATTGCCTGCTCTTCCAAAGATCCTGAGTTCAATTCCCAACAACCACATGGTGGCTCACAACCATCTGTAGTGAGATCTGGTGCCCTCTTCTGGCCTGCAGGTATACATGCAGACAGAAGAATACTGTATACATAATTAAATAAATCTAAAAAAGAAAAAAAAAAGGCAGTTCTGAGTCCCTTCCTGGCTAAACATAGACCAACCTTTTGGTAAATTCCATTTGACAGCATGTGAGGGAAGGCCACTGTGACTGCCTGCTCCGTAGTTACAACTGTGCCTCCATTCTCGTAAGGATGGGATGGCCTTAGTCTTTGGTCTCCACTACAGGCAGTGTGAGTGAGCTGGGGCATCCACCTTACAATAAAATTCCCATTCATTTCTCACAACTGTCTTTTCAGGAAAGCCAGTTCTGCACCTTCAGAGAACCACAGTCCAGTTTACGGGCTCTGCACAAAGCCTGACTTCAAGGATCTCTGCAGGACAGTTATACAGCACACATGCAGCCGAGGACAAGAAGGAGGAGGTCCTGCACTCCATCATCAGCAGCACCGAGGCTGTGCAGGGTAAGCCTAGAGACTTGGCTCTTCTGGGACCAGTTCACCATCTCAACTCCTGCAGCTCCTGACTGTCACCTGATGTGGTTGGCCCCCTCTGGTGGACACCCGGAGAAGTGGCCGACCGGCACTGAATGACACATCTGGTAGTAATCACTGATGTAGGGCGGGAAGGCGCTTTTCAGGCCTGAGGGCTCCACCTCTGGCTTTTGATGGAAACACAGACAGAACTGTTGATGTTGACAAGTGAGGCTTTCTTATAATTTTGCTTTTTGAATAATTTATTAGAGCACATTCTTTTGGAGAATATACTGTAGAACCTGGTAGTTGAAGCTAACTTGAAATTCCCCACCACACACGCTGGGAACCGGCCTCCCTCTTACTGGACCCTTCCTTAGTTCCCACATGACCCTCTCTGTGGCCACAGAGTTGCTCTGTGTTCTTTATTCTGAGAGAGTGTTACATGTCCACTTCTCTTAGTCATTGCTTGGCACCTTAAACATCCTTTCAAAAGCTACATAGTAGCGTGTTCTTCCACAAAAATGAAAATGCAATTTTATTGATTGTATCTATGATCATTACCAGGTTCTGTCTCTAAACATGAGTTCCAGGCAGAGACAAAGAAACTTTTGGACATTGTGGCCCGTTCCCTGTACTCGGAAAAAGAGGTAAGATGTGTGCGCTCTCCAAGCTAGAGCTGCTGCCGTGCCGTCCTAGGAAAGCGCCGAACCCAAGGCCTATGCTTGTAGCGTGAATGATAAAACCCAGAGACAGAACCTGGAGTTTAGCCTGAAGGCCAGAAAAACAAACAGCCAGCCACTGGCTCTTACCTCTACCTCAGACCAAAATGGCGATCCTGCCTCCAGGAATCTCAGAATGAGACTGAGACTGAGAGCTGTCTCCTCCTGTCTTATATTCCTCTCTAGTGCTGGGATTAAAGGTGTGGACCACTACCATCTGGTTTCTATGGCAGTTAGTGTGGTTGCTGGGATTAAAGGTGTGTGTGTATCACCACTGTCTGGTCTGTAAGGCTGGCCAGTGTGGCTGTTTTACTCTCTGATCTTCAGGCATGCTTTGCTTATTAAAATACAATTGAAATATCACTACTCATACTTGCTGTCGGAAGACCCAGGAATGAGCTGTGACGGGCCCATCTGGATCTCTAGTGGGAGGAGTTCTTTCAGTGTTGTTTCCTAGTTTATTCAGATGATTCTTCAGACAAGATTAACTTTGGGAGTTAATTAAAGCTTGCTGATAATTTTTAAGTCTCCCAGATACTGGGCATGGGCGCCCACTTTGGTCTGTTTTTGCTTTGACCGTCCTCTTCCACTGCACGTGGCCCGCACCTGTGTGGCACAGGTCAGAGAGCTGCTGCAGAACTTCAGTTCTTTTTCCAAGACAGGGCCTCACATATATAGCTGAGGGTGACCGTGCACTTAATGTTTTTCTTACATTTATTTATTTGTTTTGTGCATGCTCGATAGCACTCGTGTAGTGGTCAGTGGATCCTTTCCTTGTGGGTCCTGGGATCACACTCAGGTCAAGGTCATCAGGCTTGGCACAAAGTGCCTTTACCTATGTAGCTATCTTGCTGGCCTGACCTGGAATTTTTGTCTGTTTGTTTGGTTGGTTTTTGAGACAGGGTTTCTCAGTGTAGCCTTAGCTGTCCTGGAATTCACTATGTAGACCATACTGGCCTCGAACTCACAGAGATCCAACCACCTCTGCCTCCTGAGTGCTGGGATTAAAGGTGTGCTTCACCACTGCCCAGCCTGGAACTATACACACACACACACACACACACACACACACACACACACACACACAGTCTAAGGCTTTCATTTGTTTTTTTTGTTTGTTTGTTTTTTTTTTGCACTTTAAGCCTGACTAGGAATGTCCATCAGGGCCTCAAATACTCAGGGCCACTGACTTTTAAACAACAAAGGGGGTGAGAGAGGTTAGGTAGGATCTCAACAGGCCCTGGCAGCTCAGGCTCTTCCTGATAGTCTTTACTTCTCTGGGTGCAGTAGGCCAGCAGTTCAATTCAGCCTAGGTGCCTTTCTCTTTGGCTTCCTTTTTTTCCTGGCCATTTTCCTTTACCCCTGTCACGAAGCTGTGTAAGCTCTCAGAGAACTTAATATGTTCGGTATGCACAGTCATTCTCTTGGCAAGCTTGCCTTGAACATGTTTACAACAATGCTAGCAGCGTGCGAGGTGACACCGTAGGCTCTGGTTTTGCCACAGTAGGTGTTTATGCGACATTCCTGTCTGAAAAGTGCTCGTTCCCCTGATGTTTAGAGTGCACCCTTCTTATAGACGTGCATGTGTGCACCAACATGCATTCAGATGATGAGACGAGAAGTTTTTTTTTCTTAGCTCTTCCATTAACGTCTGTGATACTTGCAAGTGAACTTACATTATGATGTGATGAGGACTGAAGTTTGCCCTGGTCCAGGGTTATCAATTCTGCACTGCATTCTACCCCATTGCATTATCCTGGAACCATGGTCAGAAATGCCTTCACAGACTCCGGGCCTGTCAGCATCCCAGAACACTCTGGTTTTGCTAGGACAACTTTATAACATATATAAAGTCTCAAAATGAAGCAATCTATTTTTTCCAACTAGTTCTTTTTAAAGATATCCCAGGTTCCGTGTATTTGTATAAATTTTAGAGTCGGTTTGTCATGTTCTATAGGACTTGAGATTTTCATTGGACTGTGGCGGGTCAGTCTGGGAAGAAAGAAACAGCAAGTGAAAAGCACGAAGTCTTAGATACATTTGCTCCTTTATATCAGCCTAACATGAAATTTTTCTTTAAAGAATCTGTCGAAAGTTCCAGTGTGTCTGGGTGAGATTGCATACCCCTATAATAGTATATATATAATATAGCCCTGGGGAGACTAGGGAGAGCCACAAACGCAAGGCCAACCTGGGCTACATAGTGAGACCCTGTCTCAGAATAAAACAAAGCCAAACAAAAGCAGTTTTTAAAATCCTGGCATACTAAGGTAAATATTGCAATGTAAATTGTATTTAATGACCAACTAGAAATCAAGTTTTATATAATTTTGTTGGCATAGTTATATATAAATCATTTTAAAATCATTCTTTAGTTATTATTTTTTATGTTCCACAATAAAAGATTCAAATTATATCTTAGACTCTTGGAGAGAATTAGCTAGCAGGGTTTTTTTTTCTTGTTGTTGTTTTTTGTTGTTGTTTTTTGCCTGTTTTGTTGGGTCCTGGCCCATGCAACAGGCATGAATTTGCAGAATGACAGCAGTGAGGTTCTATCCAGCAGTATTGTGCTGCACATTGCTGGCACAGCCTCTTGTTACAGCTTGATTGGCAAACGTGGTTTTGTTGGCTTGTTTGTTAATTTTTACTTACTTGGTTTTTGAGAATTTTGTATGAGAACCGTATTTACACTGTTTCTAGCCCCTCTCCTCCATCCAGCCGCCTGTGCCCCATGTCGAAGTTCTTGTCTTGCTCCTATCTTTGTTGACTTCATTGCCTGAGCCCTCAGGGGACTCCCTTCACACTACCCTGGAAAGACATCCCAGGGGAAGCAGTTTCTGCGGCTGGCTGTGCTTTTCTCAGTTGAGGAAGCACCGATGTCTAGAGAACTCTTCTGTCGTGTGGTGGGCAGCAATGAGGATGATGTTTTGAGGAAAACAAAAGTTGTTTTGTAGTGGAAAAGTGAGGAGCTCAAGCAGGGCGTGGTGGGACTTTGAAGGAAGAGAGCCTGTGATGGCCAAGACCTTAGCTTTCACAGATGCAGTGGCCTGAGTCTCTCTGCTCAGAATGCAATCTTCTGATAATTTATGAACAGTAGAGAGCACCATCACGGTCTAGACACTGCGTAGCCCATGACCCCGGCACTAGCACATTCTGTGTCCTAGCTAGCTTTATGTCAACTTGACACAGGCTAGAGTCATCTGGAAGAGGGGAACCTCAATTGAGAGAATACCTCCATAAGATCCAGCAGTAGGACATTTTCTTAATCGAGGGGCAAGACCCAGCCCACTTTGGGTAGGGCCACCCCAGGCAGGTTGTCCTGGAGTCTGTTTAAAAAAAAAAAAAAGGAGGCAGAGCCAGCCATGATAGCAGCTCCTCCATGGCCCCTGCATCACGTCCTGCCCTCACGGCTTTTGATGATGAACTGTGCTATGGAACTGGGAGTGAAGTAAACCCGTTTCTCTCCAAGTTCCTTTTGGTCAGAGTGTTCATCATTGGGCAGCAGTAACCCAAGACACCATGCTGGTAGGCTCCTCTGGCCTCTTTGGAGTGCGAGCTTGGTTTATGTCTATGTGGTCCCAGAGATGGAACCTGACCTTGAGCTTGCCAGACAAGCATTCTGTAACTTCTGTAGCCCCAGCTGGTTGGGGCTCACCATGTAGCCCAGGCTGGCCTCAGATATGCATCAATCCTTCTGCCTCATCCTTGCAAGTTCATCATCACACCTGACTCACGGGCCTTTTACTTTTATTAGTATTGTTTTTATGGGCACTGATCTGGTGTGTAAGAGAGTTCTTGTGACCTGCTCACCTCCAAATGCCCACATACTAAATTATCCCTTGAGGAACAGAGTTTAGCGGAGGCCTGCTGCAGGAGAGAAAGACCTGTGGCCCACGTGAGAGTTGCAGCTATCCAGGAATGCACGGGCCAGGGAGCTGCAGGATTTCCTTCCTACTGGAGGATTAAACTGCCCCCAGAGGACCCCACAGCTGTAATCAGCTGGGTCAGAGGAGCCACTGGAGGATGGACTCGTGCCTGGCCTGGGTGTGGCCAGGGTGTTCCTCCAGACTTGCTTCTTCCCAGCATTGGTTTTGTTTATTTCGTGGAACTGAGGATGAAACCCAGGCCCTCCAAAAATGACTAAACTACTGCTGCACCCTGGGCCTGGGGTGTTTCCTGTGACAAGACCTCTGACCCTGTGATACTGTGAACTGACAGGACTGGACTTTTGTTTTGTTTTGTTTTGTTGTTGTTTTTAGAGACAGGGTTTCTTTGTGTAGCATTAGATCCTATCCTGGCACTGACTCTGTAGACCAGACTGGTCTCAAACTCACAGAAATCCTCCTGCCTCTGCCTCCCAAATGCTTGGATTAAAGGTGTGCTCCACCAACACCCAGCTAGTACTGGACTTTGTGATGAGCTTGTAGTATGTCGTCAGCCCTGCCTAGCCAGTGTCACAGAGACTATCAGTATTCCTGGTTCTGTACCTGTGCTTTGGCCTAGCTACACAGGGACTCTGTGTAACGGTATCTCTCTTTTCAGGACACTGGCATTGGGATGACACAGGAGGAGCTGGTGTCCAACCTGGGCACAATCGCCAGATCAGGGTCAAAGGTAGGTATAGCCTAGAGCATTGTCCCTCCACCCAGGGCGGGCACTGTGGGACCATAGAGAAGTTGAGTTAGTGGTGTCATGTAGAGCGGAGGCTGAAGTCACACTCCTCAGAGCTGCAGCACATTGAGTGGACACTCTAAAGCCTGCCTGTCCAAGTCCAGGAGGAGCTGTTCCATTTCCTGACTTGTCTTCGAGTTAGCCCTCAGTCACCCCCTGAGCTACAAGACCTGACCCAGACAGTCAGCAGAGGTAGCCATTTCTCCCAAGCAGCATTGCTTTTAAGAATGACCTTGGGCCACCCTGCCTGCCGTGCTGTGGTTCTAAGGACATTTTATTCCCAGTGTGATGGAAGCTGTGCTGAGAAGGCGAGATGTCTCTGTCCTGGGGTGCTCAGCAGAGGCCAAAGGGCTACATGGCCCTCTGCATCCTGCGTGGTTTTCTGTATGTTTCTGCTGCATAAATGGCACCATTAATAAGAAACTAAGTCTCACGACAATTTCTGCTTTAGTACTTTTCTGTACTGTGACTTCTACCTATGAAGGTGCTTGTGAGTTTCTGTATAAGGTAGTTTGCACTGTCTCAGAGACAAGCCGTGAGCTGCACATGCTGGTTTTAGATGAATTAAAACAAAATGAGATGTAGAGTCGACTCATTGATTGCACTAGCCAGATGTGCTGGGAGCTGCCGTGTTGCGTGTATGCGTAGAACAGATCTTTGCAGATATTCTAGGCAGCCAGCTTAGGCCAGAGCAGTGGACGATGACAATGTGAGAATAGCCAGTCAAGTCCTGGAGTGTAGCGCAGAAGCGTGTGTTCATCCTCTATGTCTATGGGACCCCAAAGTGAAAGGATTTTTAAATGTGTGCCTGTCCTGGACACACTAATTCTTTAAACAATACGCTCTGGCTATTTATACTGGTTGCTGTAAGCAGTGATAGTCTTCAGTATGGGACAGAGAGTGTAGGTTTTATAGAAACCCTTGTAGAGAAGATGCTTAGCATCCCTGGATCTTGTCACCTACCCTGGTCCTGGAACTATATCTCAGGGCACTAAGGGACAGTGGAACCAGGTTTGTACTATTTCTCACAAGGTATAGAGCCCAGGAGACATGACACACAAGACAACTGTAGCAGCTCCGCGACCTGCTGACCCACAAGGTCAAGTTTCCTCTTTCCTCGTCTGATGTGACCTGAAGTTGTTGGCAACAAGCAGTAAATAGGGTTCAGTACTGTCCCTGTCTGGGCCGGCTGGTGGCTTTGGGCAGCTTGTTCCAGTTTTTGTTGACCTGGTCTTTTATGAGAATGTAGGGAGGTAGAGAAGGTATCAGTGTGCTTGCTAACTTCACTTTTGGCATATGCTAGAGGACCATGCTGGGCACAGCACAGACGGGATCAGCTTCTCTGAGCAGTCTTTGCCACCACAGGCCTTCCTTGAAGCACTACAGAACCAGGCAGAGACCAGCAGCAAGATCATTGGCCAGTTTGGAGTGGGTTTCTATTCAGCCTTCATGGTAGCTGACAAAGTTGAGGTCTATTCCCGCTCTGCGGCCCCAGACAGCCCAGGTTACCAGTGGCTTTCAGATGGGTAAGTAAGAAGGGGCCCACCTCACATAGGCAATGTCCCTTTCCCTCATGGCACTCAGTCTGATGTCATCTGGCATGCAAACTAGAGATTCCCTGGGTGTTTGCAAAGCTGACTCGGTGCTGAGACAGGATCTTTGTATTTATTTAGCACAAGTTATCCTGGAGTGCCTTAGGTAGCTAAGGTTGTCCTTGAACCCACCACAGTCCTTCCTTCCTTCCTTGTTTTTTGAGGCAGGTTTTCCTGTGTAGCTGTAGCTGTCCTGGAACTCACTCTTATAAAAACCAGGCTGGCCTTGAACTCACAGGGATTCACCTGCCTCTGCTGGGATTAAAGGCGTGCACCACCACCACCACCACCACCACCACCACCACCACCACCACCACCTGGCCTGCTTTCTAATCTTGACACAGTCACCTACCCAGCTCGTGGGGGGGGGGGGGGGCGAGTAGCCTGTATGTGGCCTTTCCCAAGACAGGACTGACCTTGTCACCCTCTTCTGTCTGGCAAGGGCAGTGTGCTCTCAGATAGTTTTCTTCCATATACATTTTGGGGTGATATCTGACAAGGTGATAAATTGAAACAAATTCAGACTACTTTTGAAGAGAGTGGAACCTCAACCAAACGAAGCTTGCTTCTATTTTTCCCATCTTGATTTCTGAGTCTTTGAGAATTTCCTACAATGTGTTTTGGTCATAGTCACCCACACCTCCCAGACCTACCCTGCCGTCGTCGTCGTGTCCCCCCCCCCCCCCCCCCCCCCCCCCCCCCCCCCCCCCCCCCCTCCCCCCCCCCCCCCGGCCCAACTTTGTGTTCCCATTTTTTTTTTTAAGTGCATCCAATTCAACTTGTGATGCTCCTATATATTCTTAGATGCCTTCATAGTGGTCTACCTGTGAAATGACCTTAGAAGTGGTTTTCCCTTCTGAGCAGCTCTCAGTTGCAAAGAGCTCTTTAGCCAGTGCCCACCTACCTGCCCCATGCTGGTATTTTGTCTGGCTCAAGCTTTGGTCAGTCTTGTGCATGTTGTCTCATCTACTGTGAATTCATATGTGTAACTGGCTCTCCAGTCTTTCCATCCCTCGTCACAGTGACCCCTGAGCCTCAGCAGGAAGGGCTCTCCTGTGTTCTATCGCTGTGACAAACACCACAACCAAGGCAGTATATTAAAGAAAACTTGTACTTGGGCTGATGGCTTGAGAGAGTTAAAGTCCATGATAGTGGAGGAGAGGCATGGTGGCAGGAATAGCTGAGCTCACATCATGCTCCACAAGCAGGAGGCAGAGAGGGCATGCTGGTTTGGTGCAAGTCTTTTGAAGCCTCCAAGCCTGCCCCAATGATACCCCTCCAACAAAGCCACACTTGCTAATCTTTTCCAAACAGTTCCACCAACTGGGGACCACGTATTCAAACATGAGCCTGTGGGAGCCAGTCTTATTGAAACCACCACATATTATGGACAAAAACTTTTGTGGTAAGGATTGGCAGAAGCTCTATCTGTGGGTAAAGCTATAGGTTATTAGAAGTCAGTTTAACACTGTGTCCATTTAGCAGAGTAGTAGTACCTGCTTCTCCCCTAGGGCCTCTGACCTGCCTGGCCACAGGTTCTTCCTTCTCATTGTGCCAGGTAAGGGCTTCATTTGTGGAACAGGCCTCAAGTCTGATCAGACAGTAGTTGGTTACCCTCATGACATTCATGACACTATTGTGCCAGTGGGCATATCTTGCCAGTATAGTCATTGTTGCAGCTTGCAGGATTCACAGCTGATTAAGAGTGAACTTTTTTCCTTGGTAGTATACACAGCACTTTCCAGCTCTGTGAAAGCCAGCCAATAGGGATGAAGCTTCCAACTGAGTACCAGCTTTATTTCTCATGGTCTATGACTCATTGTATGGTGTCTTCAGCAGTAAGGTCTTAATGTAAACGTTGAAGGGTAACCAAGAGCATTGACAGTAACCTGTAATGTTGGATGGGGAGTCTGTGGCTCCTCACTAGCTAACAACTCCAGAAGAGGTAATCTGTTCCTGGCACTGGGCATTTTGTTATCCTGTGAATTAAGGGGCATGGGTGCCTCAATATAGGGTAAATCCATTTTAATTCTTTTTGCATGTGTATACAATGCAAATATGTTTTAGGAAGCATGAGTAGTAGTAGATTTCCACAGGACTTTTTTGAAATGTCCTAGCATTAGTTATTCCTTTCTGTATTCCCTCCTCTACTGTATCCTTCCATCCCTCTTCCCATTTAACCCTTTATGGCACTGTTCTGTCTCCCCTCTTGAAATCCACCCTGCCTGTGGCTCTTGCTAATTCCCTGACCTGTGTGTATTCTACAATGAGCACACACTGAAGATTCAAAGCTAACACAAAGGAGAGAAAGCAGAAGACATTTTGCATTTCTCTTCCTGGGTCACATAGGTTTTTGTTGTTTGCACATTTGTTTGGTTGGGTTTTTTTTTTTTTTTAATATTTGTTATGTGTGGTGTTCTGCCTGCACACCAGGAGATGGCACCAGATCTCATTACAGATGGTTGTGAGCCATCATGTGGTTACTGGGAATATAACTCATGGCCTCTGAAAGAGCAGCCAGTGCTCTTAACCTCCGAGCCATCTCTCAAGCCCTGTTTGTATTTTTAAGGGCAGACTAGCAAGGTTTTAGAAGTGGAGTAGGAGCTCCCTGCAGGGTCTCTAAAACGGGCTGCCCTGAGTTAGATACTTTTAAATGCATCTGCACGCTCCGGATCAGGAAGCTGGCTGCATACACCCTTCTTTAGTCTATTTCAGCAATTCCCTGAGAGCGGTTCACAGTGGGCACTACACAGTGTTGGCAGGGAGCGGTCGGGGGCAGAGCAGAGGATATTACCTCCTCTTGCATTTCTGAAGTTGTTTCTACTCACCTTGGCGGTCCCCTTGCCATTACTAGTTGTAAGTCACATGGAGTCAGCCCCTTCCCCAGCATGCTGTGCTGATGTGGAGCTAAGCTAGGCCCACTTTTCAGTCCCGTGCCAAGGAGGTTGTCATAAAGGATGACCGCGTGACTGAGGAGTCCCAGTACTCATACCCTGTACCAGTTCGCAGCTTTCCTTGACCCTAATGTCTGTTCACTGACATAGGGATTTTGCCAGAGTCAGAAGCTAGAGAGCTAGATAGGGTGGTGCAGAGCTGTAATCCCAGTATGGCAGGAGGGTTGTGAGTTTGAGTCTAGCTTGGGCAACTTAGCAAGATTCTGTTTAAAGGAAAACAAGGGCAGAATGGGGCAGTCTTTGCTTTTCTTCCACAATCTAGTATGTGTTCCACTTTTGAATATTAGGGAGTGATTGGGTCTGCACACAGGATGTGACCCGCAGCTGGCCGTGGAGCTGATCTTGCTCTTCTCTGTGTTTTAGTTCTGGCGTGTTTGAAATTGCCGAAGCTTCAGGAGTCAGACCTGGGACCAAAATAATCATCCACCTCAAGTCGGACTGCAAAGATTTCGCTAACGAGTCGCGGGTGCAAGGTAAGGACAGCCAGGCCTGCAAGGCAGACATGCCTGGGTTAGGGGCCTGGGCACAGCATGGATGGGTCAGGAGAGGACTCAGCTCCCTACTCAGCTGCCACATCTGTGGAAAACGAGTCCTCACCAGCCCTGTTTCAGGAATCTTGATGGCAGGGCTACGTAGCCCTCTGTCATTTCCTGCTGGGGTTGGAAGTCTGTCATGCCCTGAGATCTATGACTCTCACTTTCTGGGCAAAGCCTTCAGGGCCTTCTGAGAGCTGAGGAGAGATGAGGACTTCCAGCCACTGTTGGACTCACCAAGAGCTCTTGAGGGCGCTGAGCAGATGATCCTTTGCCACCAGATGGCCTCCTGTTCCCATGGTGGATGTGACCTCCCTGGAGCCTTTTGGTCCTCACTGTGTGTCTTTCTCCTGCAGATGTGGTGACAAAGTACAGTAACTTTGTCAGCTTCCCCTTGTACCTTAATGGAAGGCGGATTAACACCTTGCAGGTGAGACCCTGGGCTGCCTGTGAGGCTCAGGCAGCTGCAGAAACCCTCCTCGGGGATGTTGAGCGAGATGAGTATAAGGGACATTATATTATATAATATAATCAGGGGGTTCCTGATTATATTAGATTCACAGGAGAGATGAGAGCTAGGGGTACAGACAGTTTTCCTTGAGGTATAAGTCACATGTCACCAAGTGCTCCTCCAGTTTATTGAGTGGCAGTTGTGTTATACAGCCAGTTCCATCTTCACAGCTGGTTTTAGAACGCTTCTAGCATCCTGGAAAGCAGGCCTGTCCCCACTACCAGTTCTCATCCCCAGACCTTACAGCCACAATCAACTTTTTCTATCTGGATTTGCTTAGTTTGGGCGTTATATATCAGTGGAGTTTGTGACTGAGTAGATCACATGTATTGACTTACCTCTTGTCTCTGCTGAACATCCTCATGTCTGGTCCCCTGCTGTCTTAGTTCTTCCCAGCCTGTTGTCACGGGGAGGTACCCTTGCTCCAGAGCCTCTTGTATCTTATTCCTTATGTTACCTAAGCCTGCACCAGCATGGGGGTTTCCTGATTCCTGTGGCCTGTGTATGGGTCTCATCCCAGGCCCCTGCAATTATTGAGAAGCATGTTTTGGACATGACACCTCCCCTTTGATATCAATCTTCAGGCCATCTGGATGATGGACCCAAAGGACGTCAGTGAGCTGCAGCATGAGGAATTCTACCGTTACATTGCTCAGGCTTATGACAAACCCCGTTTCACTTTGCACTATAAGACGGACGCACCACTCAACATCAGTAGCATCTTCTATGTGCCAGAGACGGTGAGATGTTTGACTGTTCCCAGCATAGCCCTGGGTCCAGAACTAACTCAAAACACCCAGGGGGTTCCCTCAGAAACGCTGCATATAGAACTGCATGTATTTGCCATTGTGGTGCAGGGGTTGAGGCTTCTGCAGGCTACTGCTGCTCCACTTCCCCTCTACCCCGCTGCTTTACAACAGCAGCTCTGCCAAGTCCACAGTGCAGAAGCCTAGGTGAGTTCCACTCCCCTTTCCTCCCTCAGTGGACCCTGGCAGCATTCTGTTTATTTTGCTGTCTGGAAAAGGACTGGGCCCTCCTTAACTGTGAGTGAGGTTTTTAAGCAAGACCGTTGATATCCATGGATTAGCCGAAATACTGAGTCTTAGCTCACTGGGGCTTCCTAGATCAGCCTGCACTGCAGCTGCAGCCAGTGCTGAGATAGAGTGGGGAGCTCTAGGAGGGCGGCCAGTGAAGCTGCAAGCCATGGGAACTCTAATGCCCAAATTCCCACTGCATGTCTTCTTGTGTCAGGAGATAGTCCTGTTTTCCCACAACCATTTCAAAAATGTAAAAACCATGGCCAGGCCCCATCTTGCCATGGTGGTGGGGAAACTCATACTGACTTTGGCGTGGAGGCTGTGGTTTGCTGGTTCTGACTCCTGGTAACATGTGACTGTTTGTGGACATATAAGACTTGTTTGGTGTCCTTGCTTGGTGCCCATCCCTCCAGAGCATTCACGGCTTCTAGCAGAGCTGACACATGAGGGACTCGTCTGTGTGGCCCAGGGAGGGCTTGGCTCTCGGCCATGCTGTCCTTGATCCTACCTTCCTTTACCTGACGATTCTGCTGTTAGCACCTGGTCATATTCTTCCTTTCTTCCAGAAACCATCCATGTTTGACGTGAGCAGGGAACTGGGCTCCAGCGTGGCACTTTATAGCCGCAAGGTCCTCATCCAGACCAAGGCTACAGATATCCTGCCCAAATGGCTACGCTTTGTTCGAGGTACTGTTGCTGCCAGCCAAGCTCTGTGTGGACGGTGACCGAGTGTTCCTAAGTCGTGGTCCTCTGTCCTCATGCTTCTCGCTGCGTCTGCATCTGCTGTCTCTCGCACCTCTGGGGAACAGCTGAATTGTCCTGGCTGATCAAGTCAGCAGAGTTCTTTCATGTTTAGACATTTGGTTTGAATTTCAGATTTATGCCTGAGTTATGCTTGACCTGAGATTATACTACAGTACAGAGTTGAGCATTCACATTTACAGCACAAAGGCCAACCCTGTCCATGATACAGTTAGAAACTTTGTGTCTTTTAGGACAGTCTTATATGTAGCCCAGGCCTGTCTCCCAAGTTCTGAGATTACACACTAGCTTAGTTAGTACTCTGAAACTGAATGCCCGGATGTGTTTGCTGTGTGCCCCAAAGGCACCACCCCAGCACAGGCCATTCCTGCCCTGAGACGGTTTTACCCTGGGACTTGTCCTGCCCACCACCTATGGGCAGGACTGAGGAGCGATGCTCCCTTACCGTTCCTCCCGCTCTTACCACCCATGGCACACATAAGGGGAGGCCAGTTCAGAATGTGAGACCTCAGGTAGTGGTTGAGGTCCCATTTGTACAGGGGTTCTAATGTTCCCTGTCTCCTCAGGTGTGGTGGACAGTGAGGACATCCCCTTGAACCTCAGCCGAGAGCTCCTGCAGGAGAGCGCGCTCATCCGGTAAGCCTAGCCGGTGACTGGCATGGCATTCTCGTGAGGACTGTTCTTTACTTGGTTCTGCCCTCTGCCCTGGGTGTAGCTTCCAGGAGCCGAGAGCAGAGGGCAGAGAGAGGCCTGAGAGCAGGATCCCCCCATGACCTTCTTGAGTGTCCTGACCTCTGAGGTCTACTGTTGAACAAATCATCCTGGTCAGGAAGAATTTAGGATTGGCTGGGTAACTGCCAAGGTTGAGCCTAGAAGTAGTGGAGCTAAGCCAGGGCCAGGCTGGGCTGTATTAACCAGCGTCTTAGCTTTGTCCGCTTTGGTTACAGGCGCTCCAAGGAATGTTTTGCAAAGCACTTGCAACAACTGCATAGTATGTATATATTATTTATCCAGGCTCTTAGGGTGGAACACAAGTGACTTTTCCCATTAAATATGAAATGTACAATGAAATAAAGAAAGAATTTGATCCTTTTCTCTGCCCACTCTGATGCTGCTAACCCCAGAGTGCAGAATGCATGCCAACAGTGCAGGGCAGCTGCGGGCCCCATGGTGGTGCTTTCCCATTGCTGGTGGTACAGGTGTAGGCCCAAGCTCCCGATATTCAGGAGCTCCTAAGGGGTGAGGAATGCACTGCTGCCTTGCTCTCCACTAATGAAGAGGGCTGTGGGCTATTTTTGAAGAGTTACTGGTCCCGGCTGTGGCCCATTATTGTCCCCTGCCCCAAACCCACCCAGGTATGGCCACAGTTGGAGAGATTCTAGACACTGTGTCTCAGAGTTGGCAGGGGTGACCATAGAACAAGCACAGAGCTGAATTGGGTCTGGGAAGCTCTTCTGAAACTAGGAAGTCAGACCTGCTGCTTGTGTGGAGACAGCTCTCAGAATCCTGGAGGTGGGTGGCTGTGCGTCAGTGTCCTCAGTCCGACGGAGCAGCTGTGCAGCTGTGTTAGGTGCGGTGTGCAGCCAGCGCCTCCTGCTGGGTAGTCGGACTGAGCTCACCCTGTACAGAAGTGGCCACCTTAGCTAGAATGTTAAAGGACTCAGAATCTTCCCGAGTCGGGAAGTCGGCTAAAAACATGTCTGCTCTGGACCCTCCGAGATGGAGTCGTCTTGATGCCATTCTCCTCGGGTGTTGGTCGGGGTGTTGCCAACCTACAGAGACATCTTTCTACCCAGGAAAACTTCAGTAGCAGCAATTGGCTTTGCTCTATTATTGCTATGGTTTCTCCTCAAGGCTATTGCCAGACAAGGATTCTCCCTCCACTGAGCTGCTTCCCCAAACTTGGGGCACTTTCCTATAGAAGAATGTAGATGTGATCTTCAGCAAATTTTCAATACTTCACTTACTTAGGATCCTTTCAATTGGTGTTAGGATTGAACTGAAGGATTCCTACATGTTAGGCAACCCTTTCTATGGTATTCAATAGTATTTAAAAATATTTGCCACTTGTCTGGACTATAGACTGTTTACCTGTTTAGTCAGGGAATGATCTATTCCTGTCTTACATTATTCTGGTTTGGAACTGCCTTTGTGCTGGCCCAGGCACACCAGACACTGTGGGTCATGGCTCTGTTTTGATCACAGCATCAGAGAACCTAACTAAGACAGTGACCGTCCTTTACTAAAGCCCACTCCTGTGCACTTGACCCTGACACCATTAATAAAACTGCTTTCGGCCTTTATGTGATAATACAGTAAAAATGTCCATTAAAGAATCATGTTGTAACTTTGCCAAGTTACAGTGTGTGTGTGTGATCTACTCAGTACATTTCAGGTTATAAGTGTGTAATGCAGACAGTACTTACCTAAATATGAGGACCTCTGCAGTCTAAGTGTAGCCTTCATGTGCGTACATGCTGTGCATTTGTGCTGTAACTGTTGGCCTTTGCCTAGATTTGTTTTTTTTATTTTGGGGATGGAGGTGTTGGATTGGTTTTGGTTTTGATTTTTTGAGACAGGGTGTTACAGCTCTGTGTTACAGTTCTGGCTGTCCTGGGATTCATTTTATAGCCCAGGCTGGCTTTGAACTCACTCAGATCCTCCTGCCTCTGCCTCCTGAATGCTGGGATAAAAGGCATGCACCACCGCAGCTCTGTTCTAACTCAGACATCTCTTCCTGCCTCTAGCATAGATAGAGATAGGTGGCTTCAGCAAACCCTGAGTCTGTTCATAGTTAAATAGACATAGTCTATAGTGGAAGTCACCCTCTTATCTGCTGGTGCCCAGGGTAGACGCCTCAAGATGTCCACTGCTGGTTGTCCTCTTGAAGTTTGTCCTGCCATCTTCCTGCATGGTACAATGAGCTTCTCCTTTGGGGACAGCGCAGGGTCCTTTGGTTCTGTGGTTTCCATGGCTCCAGGTGTGCTGCTCTGCCTGTTCCTTGGGGCTCTGGTGGGTTGTGCCTTTCTCATGCCCCTACGGCCCTGGTAATACACAGAAAACCCTGTTCACAGTCAGTAACTTCTGTTCTGTAGGAAACTCCGGAATGTTCTACAGCAGAGATTGATCAAGTTCTTCCTTGACCAGAGTAAAAAAGATTCTGAAAAATATGCCAAGTTCTTTGAAGATTACGGCTTGTTCATGAGGGAGGGCATTGTGACTACTGCAGAGCAAGACGTCAAGGTAGGACTTCTGGTCCTCGCTGTCAGACAAGGCAGGTGGGCGCTTGCCCTCTGCTGCCAGGGGCCAGCAGTTGAAACATTGGGCTCCTGGGGCTCCTGGGGCTCCTGATAGACGTAGCCTGTGTCCTTAACTATTTAGTCAAACTCAAGTGACTGGCCGGATACCTGATAAAGGCAATTCAAGGGCAGATTTCTCTGTTTCCCTTGGGTGCGGAAGGGAGGATGTGGCTGGAGTCCAGACAGAGAATTCCTGTGTTTTCTGACTATCTCTTTTTTTCCTCTTATTTTTACCTGGGCCCCCAATCTGTGGGATGGTGCCATTCACACTCAGAACAAGTGATTCCCTTCAGTTAATTGTGGCTCCTTCAAGTTTTCAAGTTGAGGGCTTTGTTTGTTTGTTTGTTTTTGGTTGGTCAAGACAGGGTTTCTCTGTGTAACAGCCCTAGCTATTGATTTTCCTAGGGCTTTTTTTAGTAAAGGGAAACTAAAGGAAGGAGAGCTGAGATCTGTGCAGAGCTGCTGAAATCCTTTGACGCTAGGTTAAGAGGTTGGACGCGCCCTCCCAGACTCTCCCAGAGGTGCACTTTACCTATGCCTGTCTCATTCCAGTCAAGGTGACTGTCAGGATCAGTACCCTTGTGCCACAGGCATTATGCTCTTAGCTGTAAAGCCTAGCCTCTTGTCTCTTGACACCCTGGCTCCAGCAGCTGGAAGGAAGAGGGGTGTTGTGGGTTCAAGGAGACTACAGAAAATCAGGGGTGAGAATGGGGTACAATTATTGCCTTAGTTACATTTCTTTTTCTTTTATTTTTAAAGCAGGGTTTCTCTGTGTGGCCCTGGCTGTCCTGGAACTCACTCTGTAGATCAGACTGACCTCAAACTCATAGAGATCCTGCCTCTGCTTCCCAAGTGCTTGGATTTAAGGCATGTGTCATCAACACCTGGCTCGACCTGCCAGGACCACTTGCCCAGGGTTGGCACCCCACAGTGGCCTGGGCCCTCTCACATCAATCATTAGTGAAGAAAGTGCCCCCACAGACTTGGCTATAGGCCACTCTTATGGAGGCTTTTTCTCAGTTGGAAGTCCTTTCCAAAGACTGTAACTTCTGTCAAGTTGACAAAAAACCTAGCAAGTAGTCACTGTACTCTTGGTAAAGTCTTTCATACCACCACTACCGGGACCAGGAATTTAGCTAATTTGGTCCATTTGTTCCTAAACGGCTTGGGACATTTCTTATTGAAGTATCACTTGCCTGCTGTAGAATCCATCAATGTCACTGCCCTAAAGGCCGCATGTAGCTCCTGGGTGTGGCATGTGGCTTTTCTCTGAGCCCCCCCGACTGTCAGCATGTCAAGCAGTGCTGGTTCACTCACCATCGCCATTCCTTCCTTGTCCGTCGCTGTGGCAAAGAGACCATCAGCTTGAAGAAGGAAAGGTTTATTTTCACTGAGTGACCTTTGATATTTGGGAGCTTTGATGAGGCATTAGGAGCATGTGGTGACAGGAAGGGGCTGTGGACAAACGCACCTTTAAAGGAAACCCTCCCCCCCCAATGATTCTACCAACTAGACCCCGGTCCTAAGTTCCTCCCACCACTTCCTATTAGAACTCATCGGTATGCCAGAGCCCTTGTGACCCAGTCAGCTCTCGGCCTCAGCGGTGAACTGCTGCTTAGGGCACCCAGCTCATGAGCCCCTGGGAGCACGTATGGTCTATGATCCAGTGTGTGATCCATCACTCTCATCCATCTCAGTTTTCAAGATTTATTCATTTATGTATGCATCTGTGTGTGTGCACATATGTGTGCAAGTACAGCCATGAAGGCCAGAGAGTGTCGGTGGCCCTCTGTCACTCCCATCTTTACCTTTCTATGGCATTCTATGTCCCTAAACTCAGAACTTAGATTTTCTCAGCTTGGTTGGAAGCCAGAAAGCCCCACCTTGGAGCTGGGGTTACAGGTGTGTGAGACACCCAATTGTGTGAGCGCTGGGGTCTAAATTCCAGCCCTCCTGAAGACTGTGCAGCGAGCTCCTGTAACCACTGGCCTTCTCCAGCTCCTGATCTGAGAACCTTTAGCTAACAGCATGTAATAGCATTTGTTGGTCCAGGGCCTTTTTCAGATGCTCAGTACACATTTTCACTAGGTGTATTTGTGTACAGTAAGAACCAGATGTGCCTTGCCTTGGTAGATCTGAAAACCTTTGTCTCTGTCTGCTTCGGTCTCCTTTGTGTCCAAGGCACAGAATATAGCATGTTCATTTGGATCTGCCCAAATTGTTCTTCATATCCTTTCCCCAGGCTTTTGTGCTGGGATGGTCAGAGGTGGCGGTGGTTTAGATAAGATAGCTTCCAAGCTGGTAGCTCCAGGACCTGCCTTGCTGCTGTTCTTTTCTGCACAGCCCGTGTGGGCTGCACAGGTCACATCACTGTCCTGTTCCTTAAAGGCCCTTCTCTCTGCTATATACTCAAGAACAGGTACCATGAACACTCCTGGGTCTGAGAAGACTGGGAAATGTGGAACTTTTGTCTGTGTCCAGTTGTCACTGGAGAGAAAGAAGATACACCAGAGTAGTGTCTGCACTACTGTTTCAAGATACCCTGAAACAGTTCACCCAGCTCTTCTGGAGGCCCTAAGCCACCTAGGTCCTCTATGTCTTCAGCGGGACTCCTGGGCCTGTCTGAAACCGCAAGTTCACCATTGTGTCTGGGGAACAGGCCAGGGAGCCAGAAAACTTTAGGCTTCACCAAGAGTTGGGGATGATGCTCAGATCTTGGCCCTGGGGTAAGTAGTGATTTACCCACATATCTGCAGGAGGACATCGCAAAGCTGCTACGGTACGAGTCTTCAGCCCTGCCTGCTGGACAGCTGACCAGTTTATCAGACTATGCCAGCCGAATGCAGGCTGGCACCCGTAACATCTATTACCTCTGTGCCCCTAACCGGCACCTGGCTGAGCATTCACCATACTACGAGGCCATGAAGCAGAAACACACTGAGGTGGGTGGGCTCCGGCCCTTTGCCGGGCCAACATTGGTATCTTAGAGGGTCTGAGCTCTGAGGAAAGGGCTTGAACTCCCAACTCTGCGTGGGAGAAAATGACTGAATGTGTTTGAGGGCCTGTAGGCAGTGCCCGTCTGGGATGTGGCTGTTGTTGGGTAGATGAATAATGTGTGTATCTGTCACTAAGACAGCCAGAGCCTCTTTCAGAAGCTTCTGGTGAGCCCCGTGTCCATGGTGTCCCCTCTGTACTGTGGGTTGACAGGCTTGGCTGCCCACAGGTGCTCTTCTGCTACGAGCAGTTTGATGAACTCACTCTGCTGCACCTGCGAGAGTTTGACAAGAAGAAACTGATCTCTGTGGAGACAGACATTGTCGTTGACCACTACAAGGAAGAAAAGTTTGAGGACACATCTCCAGGTGACTCCCATCTCTCTCTGGGGTATGGTCCCATGTGAATGTTGGGCAGAAGACTGTCACTTGACCTGCCCATGAACATAGAGCTTTCTCTTTCACTCGCATGCTGGTTCACCAGCCTATGTAGGAGGCTGCTTGGGAAACATCCAGGGCCCAGGCATTGCTTTGCTACCACCCCCACCGCCCCCTTGTTTTTTTCCTGAGACAGGGTTTCTCTGTAGCTTTGGAGCCTGACTTGGATCTCGCTCTGTAGACCAGGCTGGCCTTGAACTCACAGAGATCTGCCTGCCTCTGCCTCCCAAGTTATTGGGGGTTTATGTTGGGGTTAATCCCACTAAACCTCTCAGGATCCAGAAGGATCACTATAGCAGGCAAAAACTGGCTAAAGCTATCTGAGGGTAAATAACATAAATTAGCTCACACAAGTCTTTTATCATGTCCCATTTATTCTTCCTGCGCCCTCTCCGAGGCTCTCCATGTTCCCCTTGCTGTTCTGTGACTGCTCTACCCATCCCACCTGGCTTCCAGGTAACAAGCACGTCTTCACAGAATCACCAAATAAGTAAAGGAGGCATCTATGTCTCAGAGAGCAGACATACTGTCTCTCTGTTCAGTGCCTCCTACTTGGGGCTCCTTTCTTGTCAATGAGTCCTGTCAATAAGAATAATTGTGGAGGCCAGGCAGTGGTGGCGCATGCCCTTAATCCCAGCACTCGGGAGACAGAGGAAGGTGAATCTCCGTGAGTTCTAGACCAGCCTGGTCTACAAGAGCTAGTTCTAGGACAGGCTCCAAAGCTGCACAGAGAAACCCTGTATCGAAAAAAAAATTATAATAATAATAATAATAATAATTGTGGGGAACTAGCTTATGTAGATTTGACTGTTAGAACAAAGGGTTTGGGTTTGGCTGAGTGAATGCTTTTACACCTGTGCCCCGTGGTGGAAGTCATCCAGTTGCCAGTACAGGAGAAGTCAGATTTAAGGAATGATTTATACACTGCTGGGATATTATGGAAGGGAGAAACGTCATGATTTCACAAGATTTCTACAGAATTGACAGTGGCAATTCAAGAGACCAGTGTTCCTGAAGCCCTGCAAATTAGCTCCCTTATGTGGAGTGTACAGTCCTGTAAGTCTGTCTAGTGGTCCATCAGCTTTTACTGTGTAGTCTTGTGGGCTCATATCACTAAGGCTAAGATTAAAGGCATGCACCACCACCACCCAGCTCCCCCCACCCTTTTTTTAAGATGGGAGTTCATTTTGTAGCCCAGGTTTGCCATGATCCTCCTCCCTCACTGCTCTGAGTACTGGATTACAGGTGTGTGTCACCATGGTTGGGCTCAGACAAAGGACAGGGACGCACCGGTGTTTTCCAGGTCTCTCTGTGTCGGTGAAAGGCCTTTCCCAGAGCCTCTGTCCTAGTTCCTGGGGAGGCAGTGTGGCTAGACTTGGCTCAGGAGTGTGCTGAGTGGAGCCCACAGAGCGAGACCCTGGTCATCCGTCCCTAGGCTCACTCTCTTCTCTCGTGCAGCTGCTGAGCGCCTGTCCGAGAAGGAAACAGAGGAGCTAATGGCCTGGATGAGGAACGCACTGGGGTCCCGTGTCACCACCGTGAAGGTAAAGCCTCCCTGCAGTACCGTGGAACTTAGTGTCTTCTCAGAGCCCGGCTATAGCTGCGAGGGTACACAGGAGGATACTGAGCCAGGATGGAAACTCCACCAGGCCCTTCGCTATTGGGTTCTTCCTCATCCTGAGCCTTGCTTGCAGGTGACTTTCCGCCTGGACACCCACCCTGCCATGGTGACGGTGCTGGAGATGGGGGCTGCTCGGCACTTCCTGCGCATGCAGCAGCTGGCCAAGACCCAGGAGGAACGCGCTCAACTGCTACAGCCTACGCTGGAGATAAACCCCAGGTATGCCCAGGCTCCAACTCCCACCACAGATCGTGTGGTATGGATGTACTTCTGAGAGAAAGCCCTTGGAGCTAAGCAGAAGTTAAAAAGGTCTTACTGGACGTTTAGACAGAACATTGCTGGTCTTTTCCCATCTTTGTACCCTGAAACCACTTTTGGAAGTTGCCATTTTTTAACTTTATGGGGCGGGTCCTGATGTGTGTGACAGAGGACATTCACTGGGTGGACAGATTTGTGTGACTTCTACTTTGGAGCTGTTGGGAGCAGGGTAGCTATGAGCACATGCTTCTCTAGGCTGTACAGTCTTCAGAGTTCCCAGGTCTGTGATGGGGTGAGCACCTTACATTTTTGGCCTGCCATAGAACCTGTCTTCCCAGACTTCTCTCCTGCTGCTTTTCCTCTTCAGTGTTCCTTTGTAGTTTGTTTGAGATGGTCTCACCATGGAGCCTTGCCAGACTGGAACTTGCTATGTAGACTAGGCTGGCCTCTAACTCACAGAGCCCTTCTGCCTCCCGAGTGCTGGCATTATAGGTGTACACCACTATGCCTGGCTTTAGTTTCTAATGGCTATTATCTTAAGGTATCTTTTGATGGTGGTATGATCTTAGTTTTAATGTAATTTATAAATTTTCTGCAGAATCACCTCTTTCTAAAAAGCTCTCTAGTTTAGACTTTGGGTTAATTGAGAGTTTGTTTGATTCTTTTGGTTTTTGAAGACAGAGTTTCTCTATGTAGCCCCAACTGTCCTGGAACTCACTCTGTAAACCAGACTGGCCTTGATGGCCTGTGCCTCTGCCTCCCGAGTGTTGGGATTAAAGGCTGCACCACCTCTGTCTGGTGATAACTCACACTCTTATGGTGATTGTTATCTGGGTGTTTTCTAGAATCCTGGTATTTTTTTGTGCTAGACAGATACATTGTAGTTTTTAGTGTTCTAATAATGATAACATAAGGGCAGCAGCTCTAGTTAGAGATGCTCAGTTTGAGCTGGTTTCCCTCTTGGTTTCCATGATGCAGGCACACACTAATAAAGAAGCTCAGTCAGCTGAGAGAGCGTGAGCCGGAGCTGGCCCAGCTGCTGGTGGATCAGGTGAGGAGGACCTTTTCTCTTTGTCTGCCTGGGGTAGGAAGCTGCTCTCTTCCCAGGGGTCACATGTAGGTCAGACTGAACTTGAACCCCCATCCTGATTTTTATCTCCCATCCCTACATTTCAGATCTATGAGAACGCCATGATAGCCGCAGGACTCGTCGATGACCCCCGGCCCATGGTAGGCCGCTTGAACGACCTTCTGGTCAAGGCCCTGGAGAAACACTGACAGCCCAGAGACCGGGTCTAGTGTGCAACCCAGGCCTTCTCAGTGACAGATGGAGCTGCCTGGGGAGGGAGGACTTGATACACGGATGATGCCACCAATTGCTCAAGTTTGGCTTTATTTACCTCAATTAAACAGTATAGCAGTCCACATGGTAGGCTTCTGTCTGCTCTGAGACAGAGAGAGTTGGAGTACTGCTCATGTCTGCTGGACAGGTGCAGTCTCCCCATCAGAAGCACCTACTGCACGGCCTGATGGCATCAGGTTTACTTGAGTGTCACCTCCACCGGGTAATGGTCACTGATGGCTTCAGCCTGCAGAGGTGGGGAGGCAGGGAGGGCATGAGGCCAGAGCATGACCTAACCCCCTCCGCCCACACCTCGTGTGGGAAACAGTAGCAATGTCGGGAATCACCAAAGCCAGCTCTTGTTTGGCCTCGGGCTAACGCAAACCACATGAAGGAGGGACACATACCAGCTTCTGGGTAAGTTTGTAGGCTGCTTGGAAGTCAAAGGGAGCAACTGAGCTGGGAACAACAGCGCTCTGGAGCTGAGATCCAGCAACCACGATCCTGTAGGACATCAGGGGAGAAGGTTCCTTCACCCTCTTGTCCCACATAGACTCTTAGGTAATGGTTTCCTGGCCCTGGGGTCCAAACTTGGTCCCCCCAGGAGCATTAAGAGAAGGCCCTGCACTGGCAGGAACTGTCAGATTCACTGATTCTGAGTCTGGACGAGCACGTGCTGGCTGCTTACCTGTCATAGGCACACTCTGTGGATGTGACCGTGGTGTCCGCACTGTCAGGGATCAGCCACTGGAAGAGAGAGCTTGTCCGAAGGCGGATGGAAGACCATTGGGAGGAGCTTACGTAGCTGCAGCCAGCATTGAAATCGCCCATGAACATGACGTCCTACCAGGAAACATGACTGTTAGTCCAGGGACAGTCAGGGCCAGTAGAACCACTGTCCCTAGGATGGGCTCACCTTTAGGTCCCATTTTTGTTGGATATTCAGGTAAACATCATAGAGGGCATCAATCTCAGTCACAGCATCTGCGGGGGCTGCGTGCAAGGGCACAATCGCAAACTCTCTGACCGCTGAGGAGACAGTAGATAGACATGGATCCAGAGACCAGCCTAGACTGTAGCTGGAGCCCTCAGCAAGGCCTGGCTTAGCTCTGGAGCAGCGATAGATTGTGTGACAGCCTCCAGAGGGTAGGCAATATCCTTGTAGTTAAATGTAAATTAAGAGCACTGGGACCTGAGGGCACTCCCACGGGAGGGAGTGGAAGGAGTGGCGGGCAGTGGGGCAGCCCTGCCATAGGCTTCTAGATGTCTGCATGAGAGCTGCCAGTGTGACTTCCCTTGGCCTGGGCAGGGCTGAAAGTGGATCACAGCAACACTCACTGGTGAACGGGGAATGGAACTTGACAATGGTTGGCTCTCGGCTGAAAGTGTCAGTTCCACAAGACTCACAGCCATCATCATAGTAATAGCTGTCCAGAACAGACACCTGGTCAGGCCTAAGGAAAGACGAGACAGAAGGTAAGTTCAGGGGTGAGAGCCACTCTCCAGCCTTCTAGAAACCTGTCCTGGGAACAGGAGAGGTAGGTGTATACTCACCATAACACACGGCTAACCCAAGTCTTTCTTGTCCTGTTACAAGCTGTAAGAGGCGCCAGAGTAGATGCCCACCCGGCCTTAACCTTATCCCGTGGTCCTGTGCTCTTGTCCTGTAATATACATTGCTACCCTACTCTGTAAGGGCCTCCCAAGTTAAAGGGGATGCCCTGGGCTTTCTAGACCACCCTCAATCTCCGCAGTACAGATTTTGGGGTTCTATCTACATTTCATGCTTGTATTCTCGGGAGCTGACAGCATAGGTCTTTACCTGTACAAGAAAAGGTACTGTTCCTTGTAGCTGTTGCGGCCCAGCGGCTCACTGACCACATAGCGATAGGTGTCAGGCACGTCCCTGGATAAAGGAAACCAAAGGTCCTTTGGGGCCACAGAGGGAACCTCCTGGAATCCGGTAGCAAGGTTCCATCCATGGAGCACAAGGGGAGTGAGGCTGTTTCCCGAGAAGTGGTTGTGCTCCAGGACCCCGGCACTGTCACCCACCGATTGAGCACATCCAGAAGCTTCCCAACAGCCACCAGGTGGGTGTCTCTGACCTCTTGGATAAGGATGATGTCATAGCGACGCACGATCTGGGGGTAGGGTCACAACAGCTTAGCAAGGCAGGCTAGGTGGACAGTCCTGCCACCAGCAGCCCAGGGCTGTAGCTTGCACTCTTGTCAGATATGCGCCGTCTACAGATAGTGATCTGGGCTGACAACCCGGGGACTGGTAAGGCCTGAGCTTCACTGGCTTCTGTGGCCCTTAGCAAAGCTACCACCTCCCCTGGGGGTCTGTCTGCTCTCGGGCATGGCCCACCCTGAACTTACTTCCACAATGTAGCCAGAGATAGTAGCATTGGACATCTTAGTGTTTCCAAAAGACCGGATGTTGAAAGCTGCGATGTTTAGAGTCACAGCCAGCTGCAACAGGCTGAGCAGGGTGAACAACACCCCCATCAGCCCTGCGCATCTCATCCTGTGAGATTGTAGGTGGTCAGGACAAAGAAGCAGTGTCCTTGTCACCCTTTTGTAAAGCTGTGCTGGCTCCAGCGGGGAGCCATCAGTCCTCTCCCCTTTGCCCCCCCCCCAGCTGGGAGCCATCAGGCCTACCCCCATCACTCCTCCCCCCCCCCCTCCGCACCTGTACCACAGGAGAGACCCTGGGTTCCTCATTCACTCACCTGGAAGCCTGGCTTGGATGGGTACAGTGCACTCTGAAGTGACTGGTCTAGCCAGAACAGATCTGCTCTGCTGCTGGGGTGAGTCCCTGAGTCCACTCTAGGACTGGCTGATGAACGAGGGAGCTTGCTCCACCGATGACCAAGCCTGGTACAGAGATGCCTGTAGAAATTCTGACAAAAACCTGCAATATTCTGATACTAATTTCTCCTTTTACTTTTAAAGTAAAAGCAGCGTGCAATTGCAGAGCGGCTACCTCTCCAGGTCGCTGCTCAGGCAATGCCAGCCTGCCCTGCCCTGCCCTGCCAGTTTTAAAGGCTCAGGCAGTTATGACCTCCCCAGGGCACATGTGTGCCCTTCACCCAAGAGCACAGAACAATGGGGCTGCCTATGTGGCCATCCCACTGGGGCCCGGAGCAGGCCAACAACACGCACTAACTTCAACAGACATAGAGCCTCCTTGCTGCTGTACAAACAGTGTCTGATAATGTTTGTGCGTGGTTATAAAATGTCTGATAGTGTCCTTTGTCCATCCGGTCTTCACCACCAGGGATGGGCAGTAAGTATGCTGGCTTATCTACTTGTGTCTGGGACACCTTAAAGTCACCTTATAGCCAGAGGCTAATTTCCAGATGTGTTGTACATGGACAGGACAGCTGCTCTGCTCTGTGGCTTAGGATGACCCCTTACCTCCCAAGCTGGTAAGCTGCTAAAGGCTCTGGGTGGGAATTCTTCCTCGGGGAACAAGCTCTGAGGAACCCCAAGTGCCTACATCACAAGACAACATAACTCAGGGCTGGGTCTTACATCTTTGTCTTCCTGTTCTGGGGCTTCTGGAACAAAATACCCCGATCCATGAAAACTATAGCTAGCACCTGGCGGTCATGTGCGCCCAACTCTAGGGGAAGGTTGCTGTTACTCAAGCCCCTCACCTTCAGATAAGTCAGGATACTGTCCCATCTCACCGCCCTGATCACATCTCTGCCCTCCCCCCAACTGTGAGCCTACGTGCACATATGGAGGCCAGAGACTGATAGAGGATATCCTCCTCTGTTGCTCCCCATCCTATCTTATGAAACAGGGTGTCTCACTAGCACCACGTTAGCTAGAGCGGCTGGCCAGCAAACCCGTGCCATACTGATGTTACGTGAACGCTGTGGATCTGACTTGGATCCTCATGCTTCTGGGTGGGTACACACTTTGCCAAGTGAGCCATCTTCCCGGCTCCCAAAGTTCTCTTTTGCCAAGTGTTAGAATGTGAACCTTTTTCTGGGTGCCATCATTTACCCCTCCATCAGAAGCTCTGTGCAGGAGGGGTTGGCTCTCCAAGGGCAGCACTGCCATGTTACAGGGACGGAACCCTCCTTAGGAAAGAAGACCTTGCATCCTCGGGGAGACGTGGAAATAAGATACAGGAGTGAGCAGCTACAGGAGGTTGGGTGAATTCCAGAGCAGGGCGGCCTAGAGGGCAGGAGCCAGAAAGGCTAAGGTCAGCAACGTACGGCAGATCTGCCAGCTGGCCAGGCACCTGGCGTGCAGGACTAGAAGGAATTAATAAGAGTACAAAAGTCAAGACACCTCCAGGAAGCCGGCGTGGCACTGGTGCACATCTCCGTGTCTCACGTGGACAGTCTCAAAGGTAGGGTCACCCACCTGCCTCTTCCGCTGCCAGAAACCCCACCACCATTCTTTTGTTGAAACGGGGTCTCACATACCTCAGGATGTGTTTGTAGCCCAGGACGGTCTTCATCTTCTGATCCTCCTGCCTCCAGCTTGCACTTTCTGGGCTCTGTACTGAGGCTGCAGGCATGCGTGTGCTAGTTATGAAGTGCCGAGGAGCAAACCATGATCCAGCCCCACTCACGTCTTCAAAAGTGTGCCTGGCCGAGCTTCATTTCTCGACCTGAAGCTGGAACAGACTCAAGTGGACCGACACCCCGTTCCCACACACCCAGCGAGGCAACACAACTCCTGTTTCTACCTCGTTCACACATCTGAGAGACTAATGGCAGGAATGGTGCACACCTGGGGCAGCCAATGTGCACAGAAAGGTGGCCTGGGCCAGTAAGATCTGGCACACGTGGCTTTCAGTATAGGGTCCCATCCCACTGGTTCTCAGCAGCTGGTAGGTGGCTGAAGGTAGTGGCTAGCCTGTCACCCGCTCCCTGCTCCTGGGAGCTCCCGGGTACCCTACCGTCCTTCCAGCCAATGAAAAAGTTAGCATAGGCCTTAGGCAGCAGTTGGATCCTGGGCACCAATTAAATGTCATGGCCCCCACAATACGGCTCCCTAAGCAGCTCAGCTTGGGACCACCTGGGCTGAGTCAGGGCCATTCATTTGGAATAAGGGCATCTCTGCCTGCACTATGGTTTGAGGGTCAGTGGACACAACACTAATCAAATGAATTTGCCCCTCTTAGAAGGAAAGAAGCCTCTGGGATGTTACACAGTCTCACTTGCCTTTCCTGTTTTCTATGTCAGCCACAGCTGTGTAGTGAGTCTCAAGTGGCCTCAAGACCCAGCATACACAATAATAGTTGTTTTCTGGTCCATGGGCCAGGTGGGATATCTTTGTCCCTGGGACTAGAAGGACAAAAAGGAAGGAAGTCCACCAGATAAACAGGGTGTGTGGTGCTCTCTCATCTGTATCTGTCTCTGCCATGCCCACATCGGCAGGAAGACATCCAGAACCCACTTTGGAGATGTACCGTGGCAGGCAGAAGCGTCTCGGTGCTTCTGGAATTTTCAGTCCTATCAACAAGGAAGTATGTGTTGACAGCCAGTAGCTATGAGGAAAGCTGGCTGCTTTCTCAGATCAGGTGAGCTTTCTTTAAGGTCATCTCTTAATCTACAGTCTTCTCTTTTCAAATTACTCTTGTCACTGATACTGAACGGGGAAACAGCGAATGACAATGGTTTACTGGAGTGGGAGCCAAGTCAAAGGATATGGAACAAATCCTCTTAAGCACCGTGACCAGAAACAAACAACCCCAGTGGGGCAGGCCAGGTAGGGCTCTGTGCCACAGCCGGTGTGCAGGCCCTCACTGGAGGAGCCCAGGGGAACTGCAGTGAGGTCGCAGGCCGGACGTGTGAAGGAAGCGGTGTTAACAACATTGCTGCGCACCATGCTCAGTGCAGGGCTGACCCGTGATGGCTGCTTTAGTCCTTCCTAGTGGTCTGTGTCTGTCTGCAGGCCTCAGCTGCGGAAGCTACAGGTGGTACTATCTCTGGCGAGTGGATGGATCCCAGGAATAATGGTTAAAAATAGAGTTTGTCGCTGGGTAGTGGTGGCACACACCTTTAATGCCAGCACTTGGGAGGCAGAGACAGGTGGATATCTGAGTTCAAGGCCAGCCTGGTCTACAGAATGAGTTCTAGGACATCCAGGACTACACAAGAAACCCTGTCTTAAAAGACAACAACAAAATATCAAGAAAAAATTCATGTTTGCTAACTTTTCCAAATGTTTACTATAAATTGTGAGGTCCTAAGTACTGTTTGGGTTTGCCTGCCTAATAAAAACACATCTGACAGTGTTCCTTTGACCTAAGGGCCTCTTAAAGAGTTAATACTGAATCTTCACTAAGTGTCGTCTACACTAGAGGAAGTCTAGGAAGCTCTGATGTAGTGAGCTGGGTCTGGCCTGAGCAGGGGTCATACAGCCTGCCTTCCTGATACTTCATTTCTCAGTTGTATCATTTATAAGAGCTTATTCCATGAACTGTGCCTAAGAACCTAATGCCACACATTAAGTGTTTTATTTGCTTTTAGATACATGCGTTTGTATTGATATAAGATCAGCAGTGGGCGGTGAGACAGACCACACCAACCTGACAACCAGAGCTGTCTCTGGAACCCACATAAACGTTTAGGAAAGAAATGACTCTCAGAGGTTGTGCTCACACACATTATAAGGGGGAAAGATATTAGCAACCTCTGCAGAGTGCTAGGGAATGAATGTTTCTCCAAGACAAGATCCAAGACTCAGCAGCTGGCCCTGCCGTTCTCCTAAGTGGGGCCACTGAGTATCACTACAGGGAAAAGTCTCCCACAGATAAGGGCATGGAGGGAGAAGACTTTGAACCTGGGTTCTACAGTCCCCAGTAAGGGCCAAGAGCCAGGGGCCACTGATATCACAGAAGGCAACCACGATTCTCAGCTTCCTTATTAAGGAACAGAGTGGCATACGGGAGGGGTTCATACCCAGACAACCTTGGGTCTGATGGGACCTCTGTCGGGAGGGTCTACCCTGTGACACTGGCATGTGTTGGGCTGCATGCATAGCTGTCCTGGGATGCGTGTAGGTCACATCTGTGCCTGTATCTAATGCCAACCTACAACAAAGAGAGGAGAGGGGGTGGAGTGGCCATCAGTACCCCCATGAACACACACAGCTGAACCAGACGGAATAGCACCCGCTAAGGACAGTATCGCCAATAAATTTCATCCAAGAGAAGAGAGACAGCACTGGAAAGAGAAACTGGAAATAAGCTGGAGACCGCAGTGGTGCTGCCTATTCAGAGCCGTAAAGCAGGGGTCTGTTGATCGTTTTTGTTTGTTTGTTTGTTTGTTTTTCGAGACAGGGTTTCTCTGTGGTTTTGGAGCCTGTCCTGGAACTAGCTCTTGTAGACCAGGCTGGTCTCGAACTCACAGAGATCCGCCTGCCTCTGCCTCCGAGTGCTGGGATTAAAGGTGTGCATCACCACCGCCTGGCTGGGTCTGTTGATCTTATAAACATGTGGCAGACCTGCAGGTACAGGCACACAGTCCAGAAACTCAGGAGGCTGACACAGGAGTATCAGATTCCAGCTTTGCTTGGGCTGCACTGTGAGGTCAGCGCCAGCCTGAGACTGTGACTTAGAGCCTGTCTCAAAAGTTAGCCCAGTGGTAGAGTTCTTGCCAGCATGTTCACGGTTGTAGGTACCCTCAACACATACCGAAGAGGCAATCAAGTAGTTCTAAATTTAAGGCCCCCTTGTATTCAAAGTTATAACTTTCCAAAGAATGGGGAGCTAGTGAGGGACGAGCAAGCATGTGGGCTCCAGATTTGGTTAACGGCACTGGGGCTGCACAACAGCCATGAGCCGCAGTGTGGCAGGGTGAGGTTGGCAGGGTGTGCCCCGAGCCTGGGTGACAGAGATACAGAAGGTCCTTGATTTCTATGGTCTGGATATATCTGGATATATTGACATTTTCCATGATTAATTTTTAAATTTTATACATCAAACGAACAAACAAAACCCCCAAGGAACCCAAATCTGTGTCCCTGGGATGTGATCA